GCCCAGCCAGACCTTGAGCATCTCAAGTGTCTCCTGCCACAATCCCAAGATCATCTTATTATAGGTGGTTCTTAGCACTTCATAGAATCATAATCACAGAATGGCCTGGGTTGAAAAGGAGCACAGTTCTCATCCAGTTCCAACCCCCTGCTGTGTGCAGGTCACCAGCAGCCCAGGCTGCCCAGAGCCACATCCAGCCTGGCCTTGAATGCCTGCAGGGATGGGGCATCCACAGCCTCCTTGGGCAACCTGTTCCAGTGCCTCACCACCCTCTGGGGGAAAAACTTCCTCCTAATATCCAACCTAAACCTCCCCTGTCTCAGTTTAAAACCATTCCCCTTGTCCCATCACTGTCCACCCTCACAAACAGCCGTTTCCCCTCCTGTTTATCCGCTCCCTTCAAGCACTGGAAGGCCACAATGAGGTGTCCCTGCAGCCTTCTCTTCTCCAAGCTAAACAAGCCCTGTTCTCTCAACCTTTCTTCACTGTACTGCACTTGGCCTTATTGAACCTCATTAGGTTTTCATGTGACCGGCCTGCACCCTTACACTGAACCATTGATCACAACCCTTTGGCTGCGTCCAGCCAGCCATTCCTAATCCATCCAACAGTTCATCCTTCAAATCCACGCCTCTCCAATTTAGAGAGCAGGATGTGGTGAGGAACCATGTCAAAGGCCTTGCAGAAGTCCAGGTAGATAACATCCATTGCCCTTCCCCCATCCCCCATCCATCACTCCATCACAGAAGGCCACCAGGTTGGTCAGGCAACATCTGCCCTTGATGAAGCCATGCTGGCTGTCTCAAATCACCTCTTTGTCTCGTATGTGCCTTAACAAAGCTTCATGGAGGATCTGCTCCATGATCTTCCCAGGCACAGAGGTGAGGCTCACCAGCCTGTAGTTCCCTGAGTTTTCCTTTCTCCTTTTCTTAAAAATGGGAGTAACGTTTCCCTTCTTTCCAGTCACTGGGGACTTCACCAGACAGCCATGATTTTTCAAATGTGATAGAGAGCGGCTCAGCAACCACATCAGCCATCTCTCTCAGAACTGTAGGAGGTCTGAAACAGAATAGAAGTTCCCACTTCATAACTCACAGGCTGAGAGCTGGGGCGGTGCAGCCTGGAAAAGAGAAGGCTCTGGAGAGACCTGAGAATGGCTTTTCAGTATCTAAAAGGAGGCTGTAAGAAAGAAGAGACAGACTCTTCAGCAAAGTCTGTTGGAATAGGACACAAGGAAATGGTTTCAAACTAAAGGAGGGGAGATTTAGATTGGATATAAGGAGAAGTTCTTTACAGTAAGGGCAGTGAGACACTGGCACAGGTTGCCCAGAGATGTGGTGGATGCCCTGTTCCCTGGAGACATTCAAAGTCAGGCTGAACAGGGCTCTGAGCACCTGATGGAGCTGTTGGTGTCCCTGTGCATTGCAGGGGAGTTGGACAAAATGACCTTTAAAGGTCCCTTCCTCAAATGATTCTATGATTCCTCTTGAACAACGTGAGCTTGTACTGAAGCAAAATAGCAAAATTTTAAACAAACTGGCCTCCAAAAACATTAATCCAGTATACCCATTTTGCAATGCAAATCTGGTAGATTGTTGCCTGAACTGTGGTTTTGCTGCAAGTCTGATGTGTGGTGCAGATTTCTTAGTGCAGCAAAGGAAAGGTAGGCATAGCTGGTCTTAAAATCTTTGCTTACAACACTTCTGAAGTAAAGCATTGGACCCAGTGGTTCCTAGCTGCATTTGGCACAGAAGTATAACTACAGAAACTTTTCAGCAAAATTCACTCATTTTATGTTTCTTCTAACACTGTTCTGAAGTTGATCATATATTGCAGCTTTACTAATGATATTTCATGGAATCATAGGATCGTGGAATCCTTAGAGCTGAAAGAGACCTTTAAAGGCCACGTAGTCCAACTCCCCAGCACTGCACAGGGACACCACAGCTGGATCAGGTTGCCCAGGGCCTGATCAGCCTGGCCTTGAAAGTCTCCAGGAATGGAGCATCCACCACATCTCTGGGTGTATTTGATTGTGTGGCGTATTTAGCCTTACAATACAAAATTCCTTTCTATGCTCTGTGTCATTTTTTATTACTTGTGCTCTGGAATCTTTGTATTTAGCTCAGAACTAAAGGCTTTAAACTGTTGATTTCTGAAAGAAAAGAAAATGAACAAACAAAACTTCCTCTAAATCAACATATTTGTTCACAAGCCAGCAACAAAAAAAACATTACCCAGGAGACCTGCCTTTTTCGGATTCATATCCTTGCTTTGTTCTGAGTGCCAGTCCTGCTAACACCCTTTCATTTCTTTTGAGTAGTTCCTCTTTTCTTCTTCTGTTTCACATGCTATTTGTGCTTTTCGTCTGTCCCTCATCTCTGCCTGAATCTCCTATGCCTCCTTAAGTTTATCTTCCTAAGGCACCTGCCATCCAGTTGGTAGCATTTTAGGGAAGAACATCTTCCAGTAATATAACAGCAGACCAGGTTCTTACATGCCCAATAATGGTGTAAATCAGGCATCCCAACCCATGAACAGGATACACCAGGAGCTGTATTCTTTTACAGCTAGGATTTTACTTCTGCTAGCCCACTTATGCTGGCAGGAATAATTCAAGAGTAAGGCATGACACAAGCAGTGGTCAGGTCTCCACTTCGTTTAGTAAGGGAAACACTGTAAATCTCCCTACTAGTTGTTTTGGACTTTCACAGAGAGATCAGCACCCTTTTGCATCCATCTCCCTGATGCTTTGGTGAGCTGAGGTGCCTGAATCCCAAGTGAAATGGAATCTGCAGCTGGCAGTTGGCTGGGTATTTAATGTGACTGGCTGGGCAGTCTTAATTTTGCATCTGCATTAATGGTTGTGTGTGGACATCATTAGACATCTGAAATTATGGGCATTGGTAATACTGCTGTTGACCTCCTAGAAAGAAGACTCACAAATTCCACGTGGTTTTGAAAATCTCACTGAAGTGTTGCACAGTGGTTGTGCTTCTCTGAAGCCTTAAGGATTAAGGATGCAAAGAGCTCTACTAACAGCTGTGCTCAGGCTGCTAGCACACCTTTGGTGCCTTTGCTGCCAAAGCCACACTGAGAATGACACAGGAGTGGTGTTAAGTGGTGCACCCTGATGACAAGAGACAGGATGTACTTTTAAAAGTGCTCCCATTATAAAAGAAGCTTTATAGTGGGTATGTCTAATGCAAAGTTAGAAGAGCACACCAGTAGCACTGAAGCAAAGGTATGTGGGGAATATAGGAAGTTGAATGAATACAGTGACTGAATCTGAGACAAACAAAATGGTCGCCCTCCATGCTCCATAGAAAATGAAATTCTCTTACTAGCCCAAACTGTTTATATGCAATATGAGCATCTTTGAAAAATCTATTTATGACCACTGTCAATGGCATCTGTTCAGTCCACTGTCTAACTAGCCTCGTAATTTCTCTTTATACTTCTATTAACTGGAGCTTTGGGATTCACAGTTTATTCTAATTCATTCATGATGACAGTAAGCCAAAGTCTTGTGTCAGTACTTGTGAGATGTATATATATGCTATATGTGATATGTACAGTGTATGTATTAAAAAATATCTATTTACTGAGAGATGATTTTTGTGATGATCTGTTCTGAGCATTGGTATCAACAAAGATTTCAGAACAGCGTATGTCAGTAAAAATAAAACAAAATATAGTTTTTATAGTTTGTCCAACTTCTATTAATAATTTCCTGGCTTCCAACATATTCCTTTAGTCTTTTTAGGTAAGGGTTTAAAGAAAAAAAATGTTACTCTGCATTTTTAGTGAAGCATATCTGTTTATTTCTGAGATGGCTGTTTGTGATTCAGTTGAAGTTCATGCTATCTCAGAAACGTTTACCAGAGTTGAAGAAATGCTTTCTTTTGCAATGCTGTTTGTGGATGTTGAAGGAGAAAGTGTAGACTCAGGTCATACCATGATATTAATAGGTAAAATCCATATTAGAGTCCAAGGGAATTTTGCTGTTTCTGCCAGGATTGAATTGGGTACTTGACAGAGTTGGGTTTCTCAGTTGTGTAGACAAATGCAATAGCAGAAGACTGTCAAGGAACGTACAGAAACATCGTCAGTGAGTAACAAGACTGCGAAACTTCTCCTATTCAGATCACACTACTCTAAAATCACCAGGATAGAAGAAAGCAAACATTGACTATACCAAAGTGACTGCTCTAATTCCAGTTTCATCTAGCATACAATTAATGAATACACAGATGTTATAGCATAGTAGAGAGCTTGGCTACGTAGTTGTTACACCAAAGCAGGGAACAGAAAAGATAGGCACACTCACCCATCTCCTGGGCTCACGTGGGAAACCTAAGGTGCAGAAAAGCACTGCTTTAATGTACCCACAGAGAAGAGAAAAAACTATAGGTGAAAATACAAGGGACTCAGAGGAAAGGAACTGATGTCCTGGAAAGCATCAGAGACCAAAAAATCCCCTCACTGAGGAGAGCCCCAGGAAGCACAAACACATAAAATCCTCTAATTCGCCTTTTTTTTTCTTTTCCCCCTCTTTGATCCATATTTCAGAAGTTCTGGAATTAAGTTACATTTCTTCTTCCCCTGTACTGCATTTGTAGAAGTGCAATTACAATACAGACAGGAAGTGGAGGGTCCACTGAGGGCAGGTGACCTAATTTATGGCCTTATATCCTAAGTCTCACCAGAATGTCCAAGCTAGCTCACAATTACTAGTTATTAGAAAGACTGGGAGGCCAGAAATCTTCTTACTGGACCAAGTGATATACCTGTGGGGAAAAGTAAAAGATCTGTCATAAATAAGACCTAGAAGTTGTTTTTGAACACAAATTTTGGACCAACAGAAGGTGCACGTCCTCCTCCACATGTGGCCGTGTGTATGGGAACTGTTGAGTCATGGTCTGAACCACTGATTGAGAAGCTGGGGAAAGGACCCAGTCAGCCCTGGGAGAGCAGGTGAAGGCAATGCAGCTGCAAGACAGGAAGGGGTGCAGCCTCTCTTAGACCTCATTGAAGGGCTGACTGCCACTGGAAATTGCTCTTTGGTGAAGCTTTTCCCTGTGAAAATGGAATCTTCTGTTACAGGTGAGCAATCTTCTGCCCTTCCTTTATAGTACCTCTCTATCTTGTCAGTTCTTTGTTCACATCCTTGTTGTAATGCCTTTCCCACTGTACTGATCTGTCCAATTGCTACACCGTGTTTGTTGCCTTATGATTCTTCCTAATTACTATTAATAGATGAGCAGCAGTTCTGATTTATTTTTTCATATATTAACATGGATGTCTTTTAGTGGATTTGACTTTCAGAGGGTGATTGTCTGAAAATTTTAGGAAATAACGTGCTAAACTCTGGTTGGCAGCATTTAGAATCAATGGGATCACGATGTCGCATCAGTGTGGAGCTGCCCCACACACAAATTTGGGGAGAAATCATAGAATCATAGAATGGCTTGGGTTGGAAAGAAGCTCAGGGATCATCAAGTTCCAAGTGTGAGTGAGGGAGCTGTTGTGAAGCAAGCAGCTACATCATTCAAATAAATGGTTATCTGGAGGGAGAAGGTGATGTATGCTTTTTAATGAAAAAAGAAAGCTCCAAGTAAACGCTCAAACAAATGGTGAGATCTTTAGACTGACAGTGAATAATAGACCAGCTAGGAAAGCAATTGTGTGCTTCCATTCTTAAGAAAATCACTTCTTCTGGCAACCAACCATCCCAACCAGTGACTGGAGTCTTATTATAGAAGGAAATGAGTTGTTCTGCTGACTTCACACACACAGTGAGCTGGCTGCAGTTTCTACAGCAAAGTTATTGTAAAAGAAGTAGCAAACTTCTGCAAATGAGATTTGTTAATATGCCTCACAGCATTCAGCTACAGTAATAGTGACAAAATGCACACCGTGTGCAGAGGATGGGAATAGATTTAAACATCCTAAATTTGACTCTCAGATTAAATGTCCTAGTGTTAGAAAAATATTACCTGAGAGGACGCAATACATTAGCTATCAAAATAAACTAGCGACCAGACCAGTGGGTGCAACGTGCACAGGCAGATGATCTGCGTACTGAAATTTATCAGGATACCACAGTGCTGTTTTTAATCTTGTGTGAAGTGACTGCACTGTGTGATGTCAGATGATTTGGGATCTTGCTGCCTGCAAGATCAAGAGAAGGCTCTGCATTATTCAGCTATTGTCATCCTCCCTTCTTTTTCCAAAGAAAATACATATTTCAGGTGCAGTAAGAAACAGTAAGTAGGTAACCTTCAGATTTCCTTTTCTGGGATCCTATTTCAGGATATTCTGTAATTTTGTAATCAGACGAATGAAGGGCAGCCCACCTGCTGAATAAGTAACAGAAGACTACTCATTAAAAAAGCACCAGTAATTAATGCTAGAGTTACACAGGGTTTGGGGCTAGTTAGTGGCCTGATGTAAATGAGTACAGCCATAATGGTACCCTCGTTTTACACCCACGTTAAATGTCATTTAAAGCTATTTACAGCAGCATAAGCATTAATTTCTATAATTTCTCCCATCAGAGAAGAGATTCTTTTCTATTTTGTAATGTATAAGTGGTGGTTTAAGCATTTGCTGGGAGAAAATGTCAGATCAGCATTTCTGGCTAGAAACTGTTAAAGGTAACTGCATTTTTCATGATAAAATGTTGTATGTGTTATATTAAATGTATTGAGCAATAGCATAATTAAAAATATACCAGGGATTTCCAGGGTGGGGGAAAAAACAAACAAACAAAAAACCCAAAAAAACCCACCTGCCTATTCTGAAGTCTTCAGTATAGCTGTAAAAGCTGATTATACATTGGAGTTTGAGTGTAAAGATCTTGGAGAAAGGGCTCTTTAGCACACATAAAAGGTATCTCTGTATAATGGCTTATAAACAGCTTCACTCAAAATCTAACAGTATTGAAGGGAGATGACAAAGAACTACTCAGAAATGCATTTAACTGATAAGCTGCATGCTCCTAATAACTGAACTTCAAGTATTGCAGCGAAGCAGGTGAAAAGAGTCTGAAGCAAAGAGTCCTGGCTGTAGGAAATCCTGCCCTTTCAGGATAGTTTCTAGAGACAGTGAGGTTTTTTAGGCTTCGTTCTATACTGATAGCATCAGCCCTTCAGCATCCATAAGGAGCACTGGCTGTCTGTCTCCTGGTGCTGGGAACTGCAGGAACAGGGCCATGTAATAGAGGTTCCTGGGCAGCAGATCCCATCAGCCAGACTGATTTTCAAAGGAACACCAGTCAGTTTAGGTTCTGGGTGGGAGCCTGCACCCAGTGCCAGCTGCACAAATGCATGACCAAGCAGACAGTGATACTGAGTGTCTTTCTATGCCTGCAGAGAGATTGAATCTATGCTTGCTGTGCTGGATCTAAAAGCAAAGGTGTCTGTGCTGCTGCTGCTGCAAGCTCATGTCTGGACATGGTCTTGGTTAGGCACTGCCAGAGAGGTGATAAAATCTGCTGGGAGAACTGCTTCATCATTCCCACACAGCCTGAGGGCAACACAATTAAACTGCATCCAAACCAAGGCTAAGGAGCCACCACAAAACTTCATGGGTTTTGTTTTTCCTGCCTTGAGCTTTCACCAATTCAGGGACCTATGCATTTCATTCTATCTCAAGCAGAAAAGTATTACACAGCCACGGATCATACATTGTGGGTGCTCTCATCTCTTTGCACTCCCAAGACTTAGAGGTGCATCAGAACTTGGTATGGGATGTTTAAGAAAGAGTAGCTATTGGCAATGCAGGTAAAACTTTGGTGTGTGGGAGAGTAAGCATCTTATACAGTGACTTGTACAGAAGAGATGTCAGCTTGCATGCAACAATTACAGCTGACTTTGACTAAAACAAGAAGCATCAATTACTTGGTACAGGATAGTCCTGTCTGGACCTTGATATGAGAAAAACAAAACAAAACAAACCCTACCTGGATCCTGTAATAAATGCTAGAGCTTGTAAGCAATATATGGCAGTCTCAACCATAAATGGTTGTTCAGAAAGTCTCTCTCTCAGATAAAGAAAAGACAGCACTTAAATGGATGGGGAGTGTGAGGGGGTGGGAGGGGGGAACTATTTAGAGACTGAGGTTGTGTGAGAAAAATGTTTTGTAAAGGTACAGGGAAGGAAGATTACTGTTTTTAGATTCAAGGTTTTTCATAGCTCTGCAGTGAATGCCTATTGCAGCGTGTTGGAACTAGATGATCTCAAAGGTCCCTTCCAATCTAAGACATTCTATGATTCTGTGAATTAGAAATAAGCGTATATTTGACAATTTGGTGTATTTGAGTTATCAAAAAGATGAGGGGGAGAGCTGTTTAATGAATAGTGTCTTCATGGAGAGGGAAACCACAAAATAAAGATTTTATTAAACCAGTGAAGAAGGACATAATGAAAATATATTGCTGCAAGCTAACAGTAGACAAATTTAAATTAGAAATTGAGCGTGTGTTTTTAGCAAGTTGGGAAAGTTCACCACTGAGAAACACTGCTAAGAATCATATAATCTTATCATAGAAAGGCCTGGGTTGGAAGAGACCTTAAAGATCCTCTATTTCTACATTTGGTTCATGTGGGTCCACATCTCAAGGCTGTCCAGGTACCTCTAAATGGTGTCCCTGCTGTTGTGTCAGCTGTACCACTCAGCTTAGTGTCATCAGCATTGAGGGCACACTCAATCCAGTGTCTATGTCACTGATAAAACAGACCCCTGGTAGACACCAGTTGTGACCAGCCTCCACCTGGATATAGAGCCACTGACTCCAGCAACCCTCTGGCTGGGACCATCCAACCAATTCTTTACTCACCTAATAATCCAGTCCTCAAATCCATATTTCTCCAACTTAGAGATAAGAATGGGATGTGGGCTGAAGTCAAAAGCCTTGCACAAGTCCAGGTAGATGACATCAGTTGCCTTTCCTCAGTTCACTGATACCGTTGCTCCATCATAGGAAGCCACCAGATTGGTCAGACGCGATTTGCCCTTGGAGAAGCCATGCTGGCTGTCTTGAATCACCTCCTCATCTCACATGTGGCTTAACATAGCTTCCAGTAGGATGTGCTTCATGATTCTCCAAGCAGAGAAGTGAGGCTCATTGGCCTGCAGCTCTGAGGGTCTCCCTTTCTGAAAAATGGGAGTGATGTTTCCCTTTCTCCAGACACCAGGGACTTTATCTGACAGCCACAGCTTTTCAGATAAGATGCAGAGTGGCTTGACAACCACATCAGCCAGTTCCTTCAGAGCACTGGGATACACACCGTCTGGCCCCATAGGCTTGTACACATTCAGCCTCAAGAGGCATATCAGACTTGCTCTGCTCTAACACTGGGAGGGATTTCACTCCCCTGGCCTCTGCCTAGAAGTTAAGAGGCACAATAGGCACCAGAAGCTTGCCTGGCAGTGAAGTCCAAGACAAAGATCTTGTTGAGTGCCTCAGCTTTTTCCATGCCTGAAGAAGCCAATTCTCCCTTCTCATTTATCAGAGGGAGAACACTCTCCTTTACCTGCCTCTTATGACCAATTTTCTAAAAAATCCCGTTTTGTTATTTTTCACAGCCCTCTCTAAGTTCAATTTCATCTGCATTTTGTCTTTCCTGATCCTACCTTGTATCCATGTCCAGACACATCTGGACAACATCTCTATATTCTTCCCAATCCACCCATTCCTGCTGGCACTACCTATACTTTCCCTTCTTTTTCTTTGCCCAACCATACCAGTTCCTTGCTTCCTCTGCTTGAATTTTTTTTTTTTATGCTGGGTCATGAAGAGCTCTTGCACTCTCAGAAAAGTGTCCTTGAGGAGTTGCCAGCTCTATTTCACTGCTATGTCTCTAAAGACAGCTTCTCAGGGGATCTCCTGAGCAATTCCTTAAAGAGCGGAAAGTTTGTTCTCCTGAAGTTCTTGAACTCCACTCTTTGCTAGACCCAGGTTCCTTGGGATACTGCACTCAACCAGGATGTGCTTACTACATCCTAGGCTGCCTCCAGTCTTAACTTCTTTAATGATTTCTTTGCATTGGTGAGCACCAGGTCCAGTAATGCTTCACTTCTGTTTGGTCTGTTCAATACC